AACTTCTTGTTTCACTGTTTCACTGCATCCCTCTTTGTCACTTCATCCCTCCTTGTCTCACTTTTTCACTGCATCCCACTTTGTCACTTCATCCCTTCTTTGTCTCACTGTTTCACTGCATCCCACTTTGTCACTTCATCCCTCCTTGTCTCACTCTTTCACTGTATCCCACTTTGTCACTTCATCCCTTCTTTGTCTCACTTTCACTGCATCCCACTTTGTCACTTCATCCCTCCTTGTTTCACTCTTTCACTGTATCCCACTTTGTCACTTCATCCCTTCTTGTCTCACTGTTTCACTGCATCCCTCTTTGTCACTTCATCCCTCCTTGTCTCACTCTTTCACTGCATCCCACTTTGTCACTTCATTCCTTCTTGTCTCACTGTTTCACTGCATCCCTCTTTGTCACTTCATCCCTCCTTGTCTCACTCTTTCACTGCATCCCTCTTTGTCACTTCATCCCTCCTTGTCTCACTCTTTCACTGCATCCCACTTTGTCACTTCATCCCTTCTTTGTCTCACTGTTTCACTGCATCCCTCTTTGTCACTTCATCCCTCCTTGTCTCACTCTTTCACTGTATCCCACTTTGTCACTTCATCCATTCTTGTCTCACTCTTTCACTGCATCCCTTCTTGTCTCACTGTTTCACGGCATCCATCTTTGTCACTTCATCCATTCTTGTCTCATTGTTTCTTGGCATCCCACTTTGTCACTTCATCCCTTCTTGTTTCACTGTTTCACTGCATCCCACTTTGTCACTTCATCCATTCTTGTCTCACTCTTTCACTGCATCCCACTTTGTCACCTCATCCCTTCTTTGTCTCGCTGTTTCACTGCATCCCACTTTGTCACTTCATCCCTCCTTGTCTCACTCTTTCACTGCATCCCACTTTGTCACTTCATCCCTTCTTTGTCTCACTGTTTCACTGCATCCCACTTTGTCACTTCATCCCTCCTTGTCTCACTCTTTCACTGCATCCCACTTTGTCACTTCATCCCTTTTTGTCTCACTCTTTCACTGTATCCCACTTTGTCACCTCATCCATTCTTGTCTCACTCTTTCACTGCATCCCTTCTTGTCTCACTCTTTCACGGCATCCATCTTTGTCACTTCATCCATTCTTGTCTCATTGTTTCTTGGCATCCCACTTTGTCACTTCATCCCTTCTTGTTTCACTGTTTCACTGCATGCCACTTTGTCACTTCATCCATTCTTGTCTCACTCTTTCACTGCATCCCACTTTGTCACCTCATCCCTTCTTTGTCTCGCAGTTTCACTGCATCCCACTTTGTCACTTCATCCCTCCTTGTCTCACTCTTTCACTGCATCCCACTTTGTCACTTCATCCCTTCTTTGTCTCACTGTTTCACTGCATCCCTCTTTGTCACTTCATCCCTTCTTGTCTCACTCTTTCACTGCATCCCACTTTGTCACTTCAT